CGCAAAAAGCCTAAATGAAGAATGAAACCGTTTAAATGCCCAGGATTTTTTTCATTAAAAAAAAAAAAATCAAACAAACCAAAGAAAAACAAACAGTACCTGGCTCCAAAGGTAACTCTTCAAGTTCCTGCAGTGAAAAAGATTTTAAAAAGGAAAAATATCACTATTACATAAGCAAGATGGTATTCTAAATGAGACCTCYTAACCACCCAGTATAGGAGAGAATTACTGAAAGCATTACTGYAATTTAGTCTATATCAGCTTYGAAAATGTTAAACTTTAAACAGAAGATTTAACATGAGTTTTTAATGCCCTCAAACTTTTATGAAGTCTGTGAAAGCTTTAGCACCTCTGAAATTCAGTCACCTRTTGAACACATGGGTACACATTCACATGGGTAAATAAATCAATAAATGTAAACAGCACAGAGAAAAGCTTATTTTCATGTCACTCTTCTCTACACTGTATTTTGTGAAGTCTCCATTGTGAAAAAGGATCAACAGAAACACCAGGTTCACCTGGAGCTGGTGCTCTTAACCTACCAGGAGTGATCTGGAAACAAGGCCAAAGTTTCAGGAATAGACAGTTCCAGCTTCCTTCTCAACATGGGATTATGTATATTTTTAAAAGAAATTAAACACAATGTAAGGCACTGAGCTGGTATTTACATCAAATAAAAGGAATCCCAATTTACCACCAAACTCAGGATGATACACACATCATAAATATATATAACACACATCATAAATATATACCTATACTATATATATGACATGACCTGAGAAATTAATCTTTGTTTTTATGAGTAAATTAAAAAGATATTAACTCCTGTTCTTTGCAGAGTAAGAATGTAGCCACTGTACATATACTGTTTCAGCACACAGTCTCATATAATGTATTTTATGCTTTTTTTGTTTGTAAACAAAATCAGCTACCATTTACCTTTATTACGGTTAAATCTGATGAAGAAGCATCTAAACTGTTCCCCACATCTTCAAACTCTACCTTTAAAAAATAAACAGGAGACATTTTGTTATCTATAAAGGAACAYTGTGAGTGAAATCTGAATGAGAAACTGAAGATTTTTACTTTTACTGACAGCTGCTATCCAGCAAACACATCCAGCACCCAAAGCAACCAATAATGGTAAAAACTGAGTGAAAACCTCCAGGACTCTCCCTGATCCCCACTGACTAAATAAATTCATTATYTTTTAATTGTGATGGTCAGCTCACAAAAATCTTTTAAGTATGGGGATCCCAATAGAAAAATTTATGTGATTTTATCTGTTATTTACAGCAAGAACACAGAGCCAAAAAGTCTATGGGACTTAGTATTTCCTTCACTGATAAAAGCAGACCATGGGAGCTGACCTAGCCTCAAGACATTTAGTCACTAAAAAAGATCCTTTTTCTGAGTATTTCCATGTGATTTTTGTAGGACAGGCATATGCTTGGCCATAGGGGGCCAAGTTTTTTTCTGTGACTTTAGAATCTCATAGTCAATGTAAACACACAACAAAAAGCAATATTCCCCTATTAGATGGGGGGAAAAATAACTTTTTTCAAATGCTTTGTTGTACATTTCGGGAGACTGACACTTGATTTTGGGGGATTATCCTCTAACCCAGTGTCATGTGAACAGTGCAACAGCCAGATGAACATAGAAACCCAACATAAAAATACTTCCAGCAACTGAAAAACTGCAAGACCAAATCTTAACAGAAAAATAACCTAAAATATAATTCCCTGAATGCTGCTGTTCAGTTGAGGAGAAGAAATTGTATGCCCCACATGTCCTCTAAAATAAAGACGTGAAAACAGGAATGTAAACATAAGATGAAGCAGATGAGAAGATCAAAGCATGATGAAAAACAAATGCTTGGTAAACTGCTATTAATGAATATAGTCACATGTGTAYAAAAAAGTCAAAATACTTTAAAATTAAGACTCGTATCTCCACAAATATGTAAAAAGAAAAGCAATGACCACATGAACCAGCACAGTCCCATATTGTTTCAAGTATTCTTTAGCAACCATTTTGCTATTTAATTCATAAATAAATAAATTTAAAAAAGAAAACCCTGATTCCACACACATAAGAGATGCATACCATCACTATTGGTATTTCTCTTGATTCTTCTTTAATTTCTGAAAATTGTGGGGATGCCTCCAAGTTACCTACAGCATACTCTGCAGGCTGATCTGGAAGTTCTTTCACTTCTGCATCAGCATTTTCTTTACTATCAGACAGCGAGTCAAGAATATTATGGGCACTGTAATCATCTCCACAATCTACTGCATTGCCATTATCTATTTCAGCTTCATCTAACACACTAATATCCATCATGTCAATATCCTGCAAGTTATCCAAACTTGCTTCAATATCGTCCTGTGAAAAGAAAAAAAGCACATGTCACAGTCWTGGTGACTTGAGAGCAAAGCTGTCATCACTCCCCTCCAAACCCAGMCTCATGTACCTGTCCATCTCCAGAATCTTCCTCCAGGCCATTGTCTTCTAYTCCCTCTTCATCTGGTCTACGTCCTAACAATATTATCATCATTAGAATGAAAATAAAATAACTACAGATGTATCCTTCAAGCTTTACTTTTCCATCAGAGCTGCTGCTCCCCTCAGTTTTTTCATTTCCCACAACTGTTTGTTACCACCCCAGTAAGTGACAAACATGCCACAGGCCAAGAGCTGGCAAGAGTTCAAGCTCTGTGACCCCAGAACATTTGGCTCAGCTCAGGTTGCAGCAATTTATTACCTCAACCTTCCATTCCTTTACAAAYATTTACCAGAAGAGAAAAGAAAAAAACAAAAACAACCAACACAGCACAAAATAATTTTAAAAACCCACTCTACCTGTGAGTTTTGCTGCAGTGCTCTGTYCACCAGCTGGACATGAATCATCCCAACTGGCATTACTGAAAACACTACACCAGCTTCAGCACCAAAGAGCAACTCCTCAAACTCAGAGCTGAGCAACTCTTTTTCGATCTTTCATGAATTTTATTTTTCTCAAAAACTACAAGCACATTACAACTGAAAAGTGAAAGGAGTTTTAGAGCCACATCTATTTCCATCCCAACACTAGAAGTTCTGTAATATATATTAGGTATCTTCTGAGACTTGAAAATAAACATGATTACAAAAAAATCTCTGCTTTTGCCCATAGTTGAGACATTTGCTCTCTGTCTGGTCAAAATTTCACATTTTAGTCTGCAAGCAATGAAGCACAAGATTACACGGATTATTTTGCACTTACTAGAAACTCTGCATTTCTACAAAAAAAAACAGCACCTTTTCTCAAAAGGTACAGTCCCATTAAAAAACTAACTATTAAAAACACTGATGCTGCTTCAGTTTATTCACTAATTCCTGATACAAATTTCAGCGAATTCTGAGAATAAACAAGCAGATTCTTTGTGTAGACCATTTCCTGCCTTACTAAATCACATGAAATTCTGTGAATAAATGACTGCTAAGTTTAATATTGTACCACCCATCCCATGAAAACTGACCACAAATGTGGGGAAGAGTACCAGTAACAGAAAAAAAAGATTTGCAAGGTTCCATTTAATGAATAGTTACTTGAAAATTCAAGGATGAGAGGGTAGAAAGCCCCTCTAACTACCCTGTACCTTTGCTACTTCTTTTCGGAGTTTTCTTCATGATGTTTTCCGAAACCACTGGAATTTCATCAGGATTCCCTCCTTCTTCCTCAATAGCCTAGCATGGGAAAGGATAAAGACAGATATAAAGATAAATGTAAAAGATTTGGTTGTACGTTTTCATTGAGTTCAGGTGCTGGACATCAGAGGCTGGAAAAATTCCAAACCAAGAATCACCAACTTGAATATGCAAACGAAAAATCACCAGATCAGAGCAACAAGGACGCAGAAGGCAGCCAGTTTAAGTTTTATGGAAAGCAATCAGCAAAAAGCGTCAATCCTACAGCATCTGTGACTCTCCACAGACACACAGGTTGTTGTGACAGAGTAGGAATCTTGGCTCTGGGACACAGCAAGCAGCTGGTCAGTGAAGGTATTCTGCACGCTATTAACTCACGAAACGTTGTGATGAGGATATAGCGTTCAGGCTGTAAAGCCAGAAAAACATCAGTACGCAGCAAAAAGACAGCGTACAGAACTGCAAATCCAGGAACTCAGAGGACAGCAGATTGTGGTGCATGAGGCGAGAATTGGGTCGAGTGCCGCGGCTGGACAGGTCTAGGGAACAGGAGGGGCACCCGATGACACCCTGTGACAGCGGCGGTCACAGGGCGACACTGGGACGGCCAAGTGCAGGCTCAGCTTTACCGGGCACCGAATGCTCGCACTGATCGTGGCGGGCTCCGCGGAGCTGCCCCGGCCCGGCGGGCACCCCTCAGGAAAATGGCGCCAAAGAGCGGCCGGGCCGGGGTCATTCCCCCGCCTCCCCTCAGGCAGCCCCGCCGCGCCTGCCCGCTCTCACCTTCCGGAGCCGCTCCATGAGGACGCTCTTGTTGCCGCCGCTGTCCAAGTTGCGGTGCCTGAGCTCGGCCCGCAGGTCTATCACGCGCAGCTCGCTCAGCGGCCGCCGCCGGCTTTCACACTCCGAAGCGGGGACTCCAAGGCCACCCAGGGACGCAGACTCCCCCAGCCCGGCCGCTGAGTGACTCTCCGCCATGGGCCGCGGTTTGGACTCGCGCGGGCGGGGCGARGCGGGATGAAAACAACGCGGGAGAGCCGCAGCCGCAGCACAAAATGGAGGAAAAAACCGAACCGCAGGGGAGAGCGAGGGGGCGGGAAGGGGAAGGAGCAGCAGCGCGCATGCGCGCCGGGGCGCGGGGAAGGCTGCGCGCGCCGAGCCGCCGCCAACTCCGGAGCGGCGGTGACGTCACGCGGCCGGCCTGACCCGAGCCCCTCGGCGCATGCGCAGCAGCAGGCGAGCCGTCCTTGGACGCGGGCGCCGCCGTTTGCGCATGCGCGGGACGATCCGCCCGCCAGGCCCCGCCCACCGCCTCCCCGCCCGCGCATGCGCACAGCGCGCTTTGTTCCCCCTCCCCTCGGCGTGTCTTGTTCCCCCACCATTTTGTGCCGTGATCGCAAGGTTCGCTGCTGGGTTGTGCCGCGCGCGCGTTCGGGCTCGAGGCGACACAGCGAAGGGGCCTTGATGGCGGAGAGTCAATCAGCGGCCGGACTGGGGGATTTCACATCCCTTGGCGGGGCCGCGGCTTTCGGTTCGGAACCTGAAACCCGGCGGCTGAGCGAGCTGCGAGTCATCGACCTGCGGGCCGAGCTCAAGCGGCGTAACCTGGACAGCGGCGGCAACAAGAGCGTGCTGATGGAGCGGCTGAGGAAGGTGAGGGGAAGCCCGGCGGGGGGAGGATGGGGGGGAGCGGTGTGGGGCCATCCGGGTCCTTTGTCTGTGGCGCTCCCGGCGCATGCGCGCTGAGGGCCGGGCCCGGGGCCTGGAGCAGCCCTGAGGGGAGCGGGGTTCCCGTGCTGCTCCCGGGCAACCGCGGGTGTTGTTAGGCACCGGTTTGTGCTGTTTCCTCGGACCGCTACTGAGCCGTCTCCTCTGCGCTGTTTCTTTACCCCGTTCCGAAGTGTAGGCGCCCGTTCCGCCGTCCTGGCTCCATGGCTGCTCTGGAGCGCGGCTCAGATTGCACTGGATGGAATGTGAGATGGCTCTGGCCTTTCCCTCGTTTCCTGACGCATCCTTCCCCCGTTTACCCTCCCGTTTCCCCGGCATGCACACATGTGCCTCTTTCCCATATCTTTTCTCATGATTCCTCTCTATACCGTTCACGGGATGGGTAAAGTTGGAAGGGATCACAGTGGTTTATCTGCTCCAGCAGGCTTTTGTACTATGGCCCATGGTACAGGATTTCGTCCGGACTGTTCTTGAATAGGTCTTGATTTCAGTGTCCAGTGAGAGACACTCCACACTCTCCTKGGGCAGTCTGTTCCAGTGTGCGATCACTTGCACAGTAAAGAATTCTATCCTCGCATTTAGGTGGAACTTTCTGTGCATCAGGTTCTGTCTTACTGCTTGGCACTACCACACTTCACCCGACTCCACCTCTGACCTCTCTGGAATGTATTCTCACAGACTTCCATGAGGCCAGAACAGCGTGGTTAGTCCTGGCCCTTTATGGGTTCTAACTGTGCATATTGAGAAAAAAACTCATGCACCTGAGTTCCTGTAAGTCTCTCTTAATTTTACACCGTTAAAGTACTTACGGGCAGAGCAGGGAGCTTTGCTCCCCAGTTGTAACTTGATTTGACTATGGGAATGTGTTGCACCTAATTGTTTAGTGTTTCTGACAGGTGATACAGCTGCTTGGTTGTATGATCTGAACTGGGGAGAGACACCAGTATTCCCACCTGAAAAATCCTTAAAAATTGTTAAACCTTAGTAAGTAGCCAAGCACCACATGGCCGCTCACTTAGGATGGGGGCTGGAAATGGAAGGGTAAAAGGAAGAGTAAACTTGTGGGATTATGATAAAGACAGTTCTATAATTTTAAGAAATGTAAGGGTGTGAAAAAAAAACCAACATAGGTGAAGGAAATTAAAAAAAGCACACAAGAAAAACAAGTGACGTGAAAGAAAATAATTCCTTACTGCCAACCAGCTCAACTGATGCTGAGCTAGACCCCAAGTAATGGCAGCCCCACCAGCTTCCACCAGTTTTAGTGCTGATCACAACACTCTATGCTCTGGAATATCCCTTTGGGCAGTTGTCCAGCTGTGTCCCTTCCCAATTCCTTGTGTCCCCCCAGCCTGCTCACTGAGGCTGAGCAGCAGAAAAGCCCTTGACATTGTGTTAGCTCTGCTCAGCAATGCCTAAAACATCTGTGTGTTATCAACACTGTTCTCAGCACAAATTCACAACACAACCCCCTACCAGCTGCTGTGGAGAGAATTAACCATCCCATCCAAACCCAGCACAACAAATAATACAGTGGATGTCATCCTGCTGTCTCCTGTAGGCCATTGAGGAGGAAGGAGGAGATCCTGACGAAATTCCCGTGGCCTCAGAGCTGACCACCAAAAGAATGCCAAAAAGAACTAGTAAAGGTATGGTGTCTGGACACTTTTGCAGTTCCAGTGTTTGCGTGTAGCTAGAACTTGGCATACAAACTTGATGTCTTCTGTTTCATTAATTTAAAAAAAAAAAAAGAAGTACTTTTTGCCTTGCGGGAAGTGGTAAAACTCACCTGTATTAGTGAGTAAAAACAACTTTAAATGATAATATGACTGCTGACTGTATTTTATTAGCAAGTGTAGAAACCTGAAGATGAAAGTTAAAATTGCAGGTGTCTCAGTACTTGTGACCATGAGTAAAATTGCGTCAGATACAGGACAAGTAGTTGCTGAATAAGCTCTTGTGTGAAGTCTTTATGACTGTATTTAACTACATTTTGCTTCAAAATATTGATTATTGTGTATGTTTTGTTATGTGTGGCTTGCTTGAATTGGTTATACCCAGTTCTTAAAAAATAGTCCTTGGAGAGAAACTGATTATTAAGCTGTTTCCTTTAAGATAGAGGGGCTAAAAATAGAAAGAGAGCTGTTGTCTTTGAATAGCAGTAGGAGTTTGGGGGTGGCAGATGTGCCTAAACGTGATCTGTCTGTCCAAGGTCTTGAAAGTGAACACTAATTCTAAACCAGGTTAATTAAGGGAGGTTCTTTTGTAATAATCTTAAGGAGTTAGTTTTAAATGGATTAAGGAGAGAGTGCTGTGTCTTTTTAGGTGTTCAAGTGTTGTGGAATGAGACTGTAGCTCTAGAAAAAATACTGTAGCTTTAGAAAAAATGTGTGCTGCTTTTAGTTCGTGCTCCTGCTGTTTGCTTTTACGGACAGGCAAGGTGACCTCTGCTATATCCATACAGACCCAGACTTGTGAATCAGCCTCTTAATGATTACTTGCTGAAATAAACTCTGTTCAAAGGTTTAAACATGTTACAAAATGTACTGCTGCATCTCACTACAATGATACTGTTTGTAGGAAGAAAACCAGAAGAAGAAGGTGTGGAAGACAATGGTCTAGAAGAAAACTCTAGAGATGGACAGGTAAGTGAAATCAGGATTGCAGTTACTAAGAATCAACATCATATAATCTGCAATAAATACACATCTACCCTTTTTCTCTCTGTAGGAGGATATTGAAGCAAATCTGGATACCTTGCAGGATATCGACATGATGGATATCAGTGTATTAGATGAAGCTGAAATAGATAACAGCAGTGCTGTGGACTGTGGAGAAGATTATAGTTCTGACAATATTCTCGATTCTCTGTCTGATAATAAAGATAATGTTGAAGCAGAAATGAAAGAGCTTCCTGATCAGCTAACAGAAAATGAGGTGAGTGAGTACAGGTCTTGGTTATTTTTCAGACAGTATTTAATAGGTATGTGGGCCCATGAACAAGGTGTTTCAGTCCAGTAAATATAGGACATGAGTGTGATTTAGATTCTGTTTCTCATTCGCAGCTCCCAAGTCCCCCTCTATTAAATAGAAAATATTCTTGAGGCTTGAAATGTTCTCAGTAGACAAGTCACCGTCTTACTTACTTTGCAGTATCATCTTTGCTTGCCATGAAAGGACCCTGGAATTGAAAATACTGTGTTAGTTTCAGAATTCCCACTTCTTGTTTGTGTGTTTGTGTATCAAAGTGTATATATGCATATAGCCAGSCATCCTGGTATTTATATATATACGTATRTGAAGAGAGAGAAAAGTAAATTTTCAGCTCAGGTAATTTGAAATTCTTTCTGCAGAAAGAATGCTTTGGTTTAAGGAAGTTGTATTGTTCTGTTTTCTCATAGAGATTAATAAAAGAAGAACTTCCTATGTTGCCCTGTTCTGACATTGCCAGGCTTTGGCTTGGTTTTGAGAGCTGCTTGCAATGTCATTTGCAGACAGCACAGGGTAAAGCGTATTTCACATTCAGTCCCCAAATATTGTCCTTCTTGAATCCTTGTGGGTTTGGGTTTTTTTTTTTAATTTTAGACTATTCACTCACAAGGCAGAACATTCTCCTTTCTTGCTTCCTGCAGATCTGTCTCAACTTTTTATCATTTATTTTCTGTGCCCTGAAAAGGGGATTTTCTCAAAGCATTTGTGTTTGATTGGTCTGTCAGTGCCACAGCAAGGCTATGATCCTTAGATGATGCCCTGAAAGTGCCAGCATCCTGTTATAGGGACCCTTCACTGAGCAGTCCCTTGGATCAGAGAGTGGTTCCACTGCTTTGGTGAGGGTCACACAATCAGAGCATAAGAGAGACTTCTGTCCCAGTTCTTCTCAGTCGAATGTGTTACTGCAGGCAGCTGCTGGTGCCCTTGAAGGACTCACATTAACAGTTTATGGAATAACATAATTAAAATAATGGAAAATTGTGTTAGCTTGAGGCTCAAGGATTGCTGGTGGTAGCATCTGGCTGCAAAAAAAAATCAAAAACAACCAAACAACATACTGACCATCTTTAATTCCTACCAAAAGCTGGCTGGAGTTTATCATTCATCACTTGGAGTATGATTCTTACCCAACAGACATCAATAAAGGGGAGAAAACAGGTTCAGCCCTGTTGCAGTGGAGCCTTCCCCAACTTCTCCACACTCTTAATTTAATTTCACACTGTTTTCACATTTAGGTGGAGCTTGAGTGACTTCAGTTGTGCATCCTGTTCAGTGGGGGGTGGCCAAACCTTGGAGGTGGGTGAGTGACACCAGTGCCACACCTGAGGTCACGTTTGGGCCACAGCTGTGCATGTTGCTGGTTCCAACAATAAGAAATCTTTATTTTGCTTTGATTGACAGCTGCTCTGTGGCTTGTCAGCTCCAAGGTACCACAAAATTCCCCCTTTTGCAAGGATTTCAGCAGAGCCTGGCTGTGGTGTCTGCATCCCAACAGACCAATCAAACATAGAAGTCTTGGAGAAAATCTCCCCTTTCATGGAACTGAACACAGAGTCATTGCAACAACACTCACTTCACCTGAAAGGCAATTTTGTGGGGATCTACAAATTAACCTTACGTAACCAATGAGTTGTGGTTGCATCTTACTCTTGGCTCTTTAAGGGAGGAAGATTTTTGGGATATGTTTTCCTTTTGGAAAAGTGGAAACCTAAGTCGGCATTTCTAACTTGTTTCTTTCATTTAGAAAGTAAAGTTAAAAAGTAGAAAAATGAAAAAAACATGTTCAGTAACCACAGAAATGTGAAATAAGATTCTTAACTTTGAAGTAGACAATGTCCAAATTAAAATTAAACATAATTGGAGAAACATATTTAATCATCAGGTATGTTTACATGTTGCTCCTCATTTTTGGGTCACAATCTGAAGTAGCAATTGAGATCTGTCAAAAATTTTAAAATATTTCTTGGTAGGAAAAAATAAATGCAGGTGTATTCTCCTTAAGCTACATCTGGTAAGAAGTGCTTTCATTCCTTTCTTACTCTTTTAGGAAGATTATGATGAAATTGAAAACAGTTTAGAAGCCACCTCTTCTGATTTAATTGAAATGAAGGTAAACTGAAAATGTAGCTGTATTTCTGATTGTCATGTTATCAGTGTGTTGCGTTATAATATTTACTCAGTTCTCATGCTACACAAAGAAAACGTGACCACAATACAAAATTGTAACAGAACCCAAGACATTCATGACCTTGCTCAGCACAATCTGTGGAATGAGGATGCCCTGTGGTTTTTTTCCCCACTTTCCAATCAACTCTCAAGATTTCTTTCATTTTCACGACAGATAAAAAGGTTCTTATACTGTTGATTTCTTCTTTCCCTCTGACTGTATAAGGCAGTAGCTGGGTTTGGTTTTTTTATTTCAGTTGTTGGGGTGGTGCACAAAGAGACATTACCAGTCTCTTCAAAATTCAGAATTACAGTTATGGCTGATATTTTGATTTGGCTTTAATGTGACAGAAAATTCACCTATACAAAATACTCAATTGCAAATGAAAAGAAGTTCTGAATGTTGTGGATGAATTTATATAGTTTTTAGGTTTGGGACTGGGCAGGTAGTTGCTATTATTCAGTGTTTAAAACCTACATTTTATACAATCCTCATTCTGTGGTCTTTTTTTTTTTCCAAACAGAAAATGGAGAAGCTACACTTGGAGCCAGGTACTGTTAAAGAAAAACATATTCCTGTCTTTTCAACTAATACTTTTTAAACCATTAACTATTAAAAAAAACAAGCAAACAAACATAATTTACATTATTTTTATAATGGACAATCCAGATCATGCAGGGTCATAGAGATTGGAAACCCAATCAT